CAGTAACACCGAATTTGAACGGCGAACCATGAAAATCGCGTATGCAGAACGCAGATGAAATCGAATCCAGATCCACAAATCGCGAGTCTTCTTATTCTCCTACTTGATTTTCCGATCCAAGAAAAGGGTCACAGTACCATACATTAAATTTGGATCTTGTGATAACCTCTGTGGAGGGATAGAGGCTTTACTCTTACTCAATCATAGAGATCGCGAGTCAATCGTGGCGAGCACCCTGCACCCCAAAGTTTGCGAGCCTTATCTATCACTAATTCGATAGGCGAATTCAATTAGAAGCACTATTTCGCAATGATGCATATCCGATTAAAGCCGACACTGATTTGAGTACAAAAGTGAAATGCAAATATTTCAAATTATAAAATACATGTTTTACCTAATAGTAAAATAAAATGTATTGAGTATTTCAGGATTTAATCGATTTCTATATTTATGTATAAATATATCTTTGTTATTTTGTGTACGACTTTAATGTGCACCAGTGCGCACTGCATGCGTCCAATCGAATTCGCTATAAGTTATACGTGAAAGGTTACATTTTCAACATTTTTTTTCTCTTATTTCATCGTTATTAACTTACTGTAGAATATTACATCAATTCAGTATTTCAACTTCATTATATAAAGAAATTAGATATTTCTATGATAACTCAATTTACTAAAGAACCACTTTTAATATTCATAATGTAATGAAAATATATGCTTAGTATGTAAATGTGTGTGTGTGTGTGTGTGTGTGTGTGTATAAAAGAAATCTCTTGCGTAAAAAAATCTCAGTACTGAAGATATAGTGATACATATAGTTCGATAATTAGCCCTAATACCGAAAGATTAGACCAATAAATGATCTAAAGTCGTGAATACTCGCATAATACTATTACGCACAATATAGAGTGCGTGTGCGTACATCGAAGTGAATTAAAAAAAGTTTTTACTTCCAAATAAAAAAAAATCTTTATACGCTGAAATCTTGTACACTTCAACATGCACAGGATAGATTTCAAATACTTTTCCTACTAATACAAGTTTATGGAATGACATTCGTCGTGAGCTAAAACTCTGCAAATGATCTCGATTTTAATCGAGCGATCCGCGTTAGAAATGAAAATCTTATGACAAACCGATACATGCTTCAATAAAATAACATCTTTTTTACATAAAAAAAAAACGATGCTTACATACGACAGTCGTAGATATAATGGACGGCATAGAGTTGATTCCCGCAAGATCCTCCAATCAGTAGACTACTGTTGGCGATAGACACACCGTTATGAGCAGAATACCGAATTTAGTTACATAGAGAAGACGAAGTAGTATCCGGAAGAGATTTCCAATCATAAGGATGACCTACATAGATACTCAAATACACGGTAGGCTCCTTACAAGGGGTTCATGGTGAAGATCTCGCGGGCCGTATCCTAGAACCTATCTTTACCGCGATGAGAGCCGAGAGTACCCATTCCCGACTGAGGAGAATCTGGATCGGTCGCATCCTGTAGATACTGTAATTCCTGCAGTTCCTGGAACTTTTCATGATCTCGTATGTGTGCATAATTAGCAGATAAGCACATCAGGTAGTGAATCAAGCTTAGAATCACAAGCATGCTCGCCACGGTCGCCAAGATGAACATCACCTCAGCCTTCTCCACAAAATCCTTACAAAACAGCTTGACTTCTTGAGGCCCACATACTTGCATGTCCTGTACCCGTGTGTTATTTGGAAACATAAAACCTGAAATAGCGTTAATTTGATTGCTCTTTATCAGTTTTAAGTTTTGTACGATAACAAACATTTAACATTTAATTAATATACTATATTCAAATACTACATAATAGTAATTATAAACTGAAATAAAGTAACCATTTTATAAAAATAGAAGAAGGAAATATGGATTTAAATACAATATTCTAATTTCAATCTACTCATATATCAATGTGACACACACAAGTGAAAACTTACTGAATTGAGTAAAATCAATGCAGTCATCAAGAGATTGAACACGTGGATTGCTGCACAAATTCCAGAATATGGTGAATATTAGCGTTGTAATAACCAGGAATGCAAATATCAGAAGCCAAGCTATTTGCAAAATGTAGATGATAGTCATAAACTGAAAAATTAAAGATGTAGCTTGTAGCCATCAGAGATTTTTTTTACTAATATGAAAATATAAATAAAGATTTTACACTTTAAATACTTACAACAGCACAGGATATACGTCCACCTACTCGGGATCTCCATGCACGATAGACTTTGTGCCTCGTAGCACCAGTTGCAAGACAACCAACACACAGAATCATGAATCCTAAAGCTGCCATGCACGCTCCGACTGATGCAAACACTAACTGCACCGCTTCCAACCATCCAAGATGAAGGTGAAACACCTGAATAATTTGATAACTTGAAATTTATAGAATCTAAATTATTTTGAAAAAATGTATCAAGCTCTCATGCTTTTTACCTGATCCATCATAAGAGCACACAACGTTGCACCTCTGTACATGGTTCCACAGAAGGTTCCAACTCCCAGACAACACATAATGGTCGCTATAAGAGTCGCATATGGCACTCTGGCCATGCATTCGTTGCACATGCTCCCTAAACAAGGAAATTCCTTTACATTTCTCATTTTGTTATGGGAAGCGTCGTACATTCATTTATAAATTTAATTGAAATCATTCATAATTAAATTTCATTACAATTAAAATCTAGATACTATAACAATAATGTAACATAATTTTTAATTTAATTTAATTTAATTTAACATAATGATACTTATATTGACTTGTGTCAACTTGTGTTATCAAATGGAAAGCACCCAATATATAACAGACAATATTAAAAATCTATAGTTCACGTTATGCATAGTATAGATTTTTTTCAGTATTAATATTAGTAACAATATATATTGGATAATGATCTACGTTTGTACCATTTATTATCACATTTCAATAGCACTTTTTAAACTTACTGCAACTTTGTTCGTTTGAATTTAGACCATGTAAATTACGTTCAGAAAACCTATCCAGGCTAACATTACTCCCAAAGTTACCACGCAGTGGCAGACTCTCTCCAGCTTGATGTAATTCACGTAATCTCGTCATTTTAATACAATTATAATAGTAACAACAAACGACTTAACAATAACAATAAATGAATGCGTGGTGAAAGCTGGGCGTTCAGCCAATGACTAAATCATACTATCGACGATGACTAATCATTTATCTACAGTTCAGTCAGATAACGCGCGACATGTGTCTGAGTATATTCGCTAATGACGCCAGTTTATTCACAAACTCGATAATATAAACGTGTCGTTAACGTGCTAAGTTGTCTTGGACGGAAATAATTGGCGATTATAGCAATTACTCGTGGTGTCTATTATTGTCGACACCATGACTCTTTCGCTTGCGTGCGAACATCATCTGTCTCTTAATAAAATTTAACAAGCTCTCTTGGAATTAATTCGTGCTCTAGATCAATTATAATTTACATCATATCAAAATTAGCTCAGCGTTCATTAATTAATTTATTATCCAACGTAATTAAACTAGAAATAGCTCCAATGTTTACAATCGTATGACTATCGTTGTTATGACCCACACAGAGATTCAATACAATCCCAAATCAGACTGTGAACATCACACAATCGCGTTATAATTTACAACGGAAGAGCGACAGGCAGATTTTCGTCAGGATTAGCGTGGACTTACCCATTTTCGTAGTTCGCGTCGCCCGCTTAAGGTTAGCAAAGAAGAGACAGGATGGGCAGTGCCCGTACGCGTCGCGGAATCCGCGATTACAGCAGCCGTTTCTCGTTAATTACCGCAGCAATCACACATCCCACGATCGCAGTAGCGAAGGACATCCCACTCACGGTTACAATTGCTGGATGCAAAAGAGAAAGAAGGCAGATAAAACTGACGAACTCGATGAATTCTCAAATTCTATTAACTATATAGTCGTATGTGTACGAGATCTTATGCTTACACTCTTACAGGATCTTGATCTTCGTTCACAGAACTTTACAGTTGACAAAATACTATTGCGTTATTCGCTTGTTTACCATCTGTCAGAATCACTCCGGGAGACGGCGCGGCGATTGACTGACTACGCGAACCATCTGCGAACGGTTCCACGGATGGTCTCTCTCAACGATATTATCAATCTTATCACGTGCGCACGCGTCGGATTTTGGGAATCACGGGGAACGACTTCCACGAGGTATCTCCGGCCAAAGACGGCATCAACATGGCGTCACGGAGCGCGTCCGTTACGTTCCGTATGGTGAATGGGATCGTTGCTCCCGCAATGTCGAATCGTAGGGCGCGCCGCCGTAGTAAACGCTCATTCCCTTCAATGAAGCGAGGCTTGGAAGTGACGATGACCGGCTGTGACCCCGATTCGATCGAGGAGCCGCGATAAATACGCCGAAGCGACCGAGGATTATACTTTAACAATCAGATACAATTGAATTTCGAAGATGAAAGGATCACAGGAAGATAATGTGGGAAAAAGAGAAGCCTGCTGTAATATTTTTATGCGAAAAATGGAAATTATTATATTTTTTATTATACATTCTTTTTTCATTGCTGTTTGGCAAAAAAAACAGCGATCATAATAATGATTTAAGTATATCATCTATTGATGATGAAAACAATACATATACCTGCACTTTCAGGAGATACCGGATTTCGCAGAATGCTCTTTTACATAATGCAAATAGTGGAAAAATTCTCAATTTTATTCCACTCTTATAAAAATTATTCTCTTGCCTTCGATCTATAAAAATAAATATCAATATTGAAAAAAACATTATTCTCGTTAATTATTTTTCTTATTTCATTATTTAACGAGTTTTTTCTTTTTCCTTTTTTTTCTTATTTTATACAATTGCAATAGTAACTCGAATCAAGCGCATATCAAAGAATATAATATATATCTTTTTATTTGATATTATTGTATACTTAGAAAATATTCGTAAAATCACGATCAGAGATTGAGATTAAGATTGGATTGAAATTTAATTAAGCAGAAGAAAAAAAACTAATTGCAAGTGAATTTTAATTTGATTCGTTAAATTCCAATCCAATCTCAACGTCTAGCCTGATCACAATTTCAAATCTTTATTAACTTTGTATAAACTCTATCTATAAATCTATGCTAATTTATAAATTTAAAGCAAGCTTACAATCTATAGGCAAAGATAATTTCTCGTACTATACACAATATTTTTTTCAAGCAGAGCTACCGAATGCCTTTATACATCGGCTCTATGAAATACTTGATAATCGTTGGCAATTGTTGAAGCTTCTTTTTGACCGGTATCTCCAAGTTTTGCTGATGATGCCTGTTATATCGTGTAATTGTGCCGTCACTAGTTTGATATATTATGTCGCTGTTGTGACTTTGCGGATTTATCTGCAAAAAATCACAATCAATAAAATATAAGTGACTCAATCATTAGTCGAACGATTGTTTAATAAACTATCGTTAATAATCTATTCGGAAAGTTAAATTAATAACTAATTAAAACTAAGAAATTATATTTAGACAGTAATTTACGGTTAAGGCGGATCCATCCTGATAATCGATCCTAATATTTCCAGATGACAATTTAGTAGCAAAGCTAATTCCTGGCACAGCTATCTTCGTATTATGATTAGAGTTACGCATAGAGTTCATATTGCGTGACCTAGAAGTCCCTGTTGACATGACGGAACAACTAGCGTCGAACGACGGCATCTGAAAGATATTCAATATTAATTTGCCAACCTAAAATAATTAAGCATCCTCTCTGCTACTTACAACAGGAGATTGTGTAGTGTGTGAGATGTTTTCTTTTCCCTGAAGGTAGGGAGAATCACTCAAGGCTGTATTGGGCCGTCGTCCGATTATCACAGGAAAGCAGGAATGTCCAGTGGCTGCCTCCAGAGATGCTAGATTAGATTCCAATAGCAAACAACGCTGATAACATTCCGAATAATGCTCGTAATAAGTCTTGAGATGCGACGGGAACGCACCCTCGACAAACGTAACACCATCGTTATTGGTGATCTTCACCACATCGTCTATCCGGACAACCTAAAATATAAAAATATAAAAACTAAATATAAAATACAAATGTTAAATAGCAAAGTTTTTATTTTATCGCATATATATAACAGAACGATTAAATCGATAGCTGAATACCTTTATGCCGTTATAAAAATGCACTTCACAGTCGGGTTGTGGACCATTTTCCATGAACAGGCACTTCGAGCGTTGAGTGTACAGTGTTAATTTCGGAGTTTTTGCCTGAACCAGTTTCACGAAACGAAAGGCATACATATATTTTCGATGATGACACGCTGGTAAATTTTCATACGAATAAATACTATCGGCGCCCCGATTAGGCAATGGTGGTGGTTGTGAGCCAATCTCCACAGTTGGGTTTAATTTGTAAAGAACGATTCGCAGACCGTCACCTGATATTCTACATACTTCGTTTATCCTTTCCTATAGTATGAATAATGTTAGATATTTTTATGTAATTTTCTTGTAATTATCATACATATATATATATATGTATATATATATATATATAATATATATATATATATACATATATACATAATGCTTTTTTTTTTTCATAAAATAACACAATATTTCTATTTATATGCTTTACATTACTATTACTATTACTACTAGCAAGCTTTGTATTCTTTACGTACCGTGCCATTTCTGCGCTTGATAAATTCGATGCACACTTCTCCGTTATCCAGAATGGTAAGTATCGCATTTTTCGTTTTGTGTCTTTTAGGCTCTAGCCTATTAGAATTTAAGGACGGCACTTGTAACTTTGTGCTCTTTTCAGTTCCTTCCGTACTACGGTTTTCCACGTTGTTTTCTTTCCTTTGCTTATGTCTCTCCACCAACCTTGGTTTCTCGGATTCATTATAAGCATTGTAATTATCGTACTGTCCGTTTTGCGAAAATCCTCTACCACGTAGTATCTGAATCAAAGAATCATCTTTCGGGCGATAATTAGCGTATCTCATTCCATGATTAGGATTTGATTGCATTTTCGCAATAGGCTCGGATAACGGCTCGCTTCGTACACTAACCATAGGCATCATTGGTAAGGTAGACATTCTTTCCTCCGATAGGGATCGCATTTTCGGTCGACCATATGATGAAAGTGTCCTACCAAGTCCGGAATCCACCATATTAGTAAATGGATTTTTGCTCGCATTGTTTCTTTCCTGAATAAACAAAATATGAACGTATTGCAATTATTTATGGACTGTCAATTTAATGGCATTTTCTTTATTATCAATAGATCTGTTCTTTTTAACTAAACTTTTGCACAGTTCATCTTTTCTCTCTTTAAAAGATAAAAAGAAAAAAATAAATCATGCAAAAATTCAGCTAAAAAGAACAAATCTAATGATTAATATATTAACATTGCATTTAATACTGCTATATCGTATTAAGTATCTGTCCTCACTTACATTATGTAGCTTACTCTTTTCTATACTCGTTATAAAGGCATGCTTATGAATATCCCGCAAGCATATCCTGTCTTTCGGATTTTTCTTCAATAATTTATCTATCAAATCCCTTGCGTTTTCTGACAGATGAAGTGGCATTACATAATCAGCCATAACTACTCGGGTCAGAGTACTCTTAATTGCGTCTGTCTCGAACGGTGGCTTGCCTACCAACAAAGTATACAACATACATCCCAAGCTCCATACATCTGCTTCCGGCCCATGTGAAGATCTCGTAGCAACCTAAAAATTTTTCAAATGTCACATTCCTGCGTAATATTGCAATTTATACAGCAACTTCGAAAAATTACTTCGGGCGAGATATAGTTCGGTGTGCCACACATAGTCAAATGCTTTTCATCTGGTTTACTCATCTGTGTGGCCAATCCAAAATCCGCTATTTTCTATAAATACAGAAACTAAATTTAAAAAAAAAAACAAATTTTTTAATAACAAATGCTGTTTTTTCCTATACATACCACTTGCATATCTTTAGTCAAAAGTAAATTGGACAATGACAAATCTCTATGAAGTATTTGATGGGAATGGAGATAAAGCAAACCCTGTACTACTTGTTTGATTATGTAAGCAGCTAAAACAATACAATTTTATTATAACGGATGTAACTTAATATAATTTATAACGTATTATTTCTCATGTATATAAATATACCATGTTCTTCGGATAAAGTTTTAGTGCCTTGTGCTTTGAGATAACGTTGAAGTTCTCCATTATGACATAATTCTAAAACGAGATACACGTAATTTGCATTTTCAAAACACGTGTATGCCTCCAAGATAGCTGGATGTTTCAATTTTATATGTATCTCTACTTCTTGTCTAACTCTATCCATCATCCCAGCAACCTGCATCATTTTCTTGTCGATCTAGAAGTAAATATAAAAGAGATAGAAGATAAGAAAAGATTGCTCATTTTGAAAAGAAAGAACTTTGCAATAAACTTTAGGTCTATATAATAAGCTGAATATGGATTTAAGTGTGATCTCAAGATTGAAACATTTGTCAAGATTTGACAAACAGTTGTGATCTCAAAATTTGACATTGATCCACTTTCTTTTCCAATACTTCAAAACATGCAGAGATCGACAAATAATTTTATGCGTTTCAAAATATCTCATGTTCAAAGTATCTCGGGGCTAACAACAATGCAACTGGAGTGACAGGCCTCTCTCTCACACAATCCAAGAAGAAACAGATAAGAAAATCACCATTTTGATCGCAACTTCTGTGCCGCTGCGGAGACATCTCGCACGGTAGACGCTTCCGTAGCCGCCTTTACCCAATAAATTCAACACTTCGTATTCCTATAAAAGAAATACAAATGCATCGAGTCACATATACTCGCGCGTTACCATAGGGCGACGGCGCAAACGGGCGCAAATTCAAAAAGCTAACCTCAATGTGCTCGCCGAAACCGGCTGAGATCGCCGGCGTCAGGCAACGCATCGCGCCACGCTCGAATGGTCGCTGTCGATCGTCGATAACCATCGGCACCACGATAATGACACTGTCTCACACAAAATTTGTCGGCGACGGCATTCCTGATTGAAATCTCACTCGACAAACCGTAAACACCAAATGTCACTTAATGCCGCCCACCATATTGCGCCATATGCAATTTGATAACAATTTGTCGGCACTGTCGCCAGGTCGCCACTGTCGCGACTCGCGCATGCGTGATGTGAGACAAAAATGACGGCCTAACATAAATTAAAAGATCCTACATTAATTACATGGAAAATTGGTGAAATGAATTGATTTTCACATATGTTGTAGCTTACTCTACTGAAAAAAAATCATGTTACAATGTTACATGATAAAATCATGTAATTCAAACATGTAAATCATGTAAATTGTTCCAAATCAGTGCGTAATTTTTTAAAATGTAATTTGAAAAATCACATAATATTAGAAATAATTTCATCTATCATGTGATTTTATAATTATCGAATTTTAATGAATTAAATGATAAAAATAAAAGAAAAAAAGAACATATCATGTGATTTTTCAAAATACGTAATTTTAAAATCATATACTGATTTAGAATAATCTGTTTATAGTTTTAATTACATGATTTCATCATGCAACTGTGTGACGTGATTTTTTTCAGAGATAAGATATAATGTGACGAATAAAAAATATTATATACAAATTGTTTAAGGGAATGCTGGACCAAATTTGATCAATGTCGATAAAACAGATTTTTAATTCCAAATAAAATATTACGTACGTCAAGAAAACGTTCATATATTAATTAAAACATTACGTATATTAAGCAAAATCAAGTAAAATGTACATTTCTTGCTCTGCTATATCCTGTATATTACATAAATGTAGATTATGTACACTCAAATCGTACTTTTCAAGCCATTTCTTTCGTAAGCTTCAAAATCATAATTTAAAGATCTCATGATATTTTTATAAATTATTCAAATATGGAAAAATACTTTTGTTTAAATATATCCTTGCATTCATATTTATATATAAGGAGAGTGAACGAAGTGAACTTACATAGTAACAGAAAACTGTAATTTACAATTTTTTAGGAATTTTCATATTGGTTTGTACTTTTCCAAAAGTATTTGCATTTTTTCTTTTATTCTGGAGAAGGATTTGTTTATTCTGTATAAAGAAAACGAAACGATTTGAGAAATACGAAATAACGCTCCATTGGTAACTCCAGCAATTAAAAAGTTGCAATGTATTTTTTTCAATAAGTTTCTCTCGAGATACTAGTTTTGAATAAATGATAATGCAGCAAACAAAAGGTCGCGGAGTCGACATCGTATTAAATTCATTGGTAGAAGAAAAATTAATCGCATCCGTTCGGTGTTTGGCGCGAAACAGTCATTTTTTAAAGATTGGCAAATTTGATTTTATTTCTAATAATCCTTTAAGTATGTGCGCGTTTCAGAAAGGTATTAGCTTTTATGGAATTGTACTGGAGAATATGTTCACTGGTAACCGCAAATATACGTCCCTATTGTTCAAAATGATAACCGATGATCTAAAAAATGGAACAATCAAACCACTTCAAGTAAAAATTTTTTCTAAAACAAATATCGAAGAAGCTTTTAGGTACATGGCGAGAGGAAAGCGTATCGGAAAGGTATGCTTATACTGATTAATAGTAACAAAGAAGTGTATTCATAAATAGCTTTATATAAACTTATTTTTATTGGAAATAAATAATATATCTCGGAATTAAATGTCCACATACTATTATGAACGACGCGCTCAAGATATTTTATAAAATGTTTATAACGTTTGTATGTTTATTGTGATGTAACCGGAATTATTATTATATATATACTCAAGTGGAGTCCGCTGATAACGGTTTGAAAGAACTAGAGGGACCGGACAGCTTCCGCAAAAACTCATAAACATCAATCAACCCGGAATGTCAACATTAATGCAAAGCTAAAAAGCAGCAAATTACAAGCAACACCCTAAATATACATATATCAATCAATAGCGAATACCCAAGCTGTCGCCCGAGACTGACCAGCAATTTTATTTTAAGAAAAAACAGGCGCCAAAAATCGTAAAAAGCATGGAAAAGCCCAATGTAAGTCAACAAGTAATAAACTTGTAAAAATATTAGAACAAGGCTAGTCGCGAAAAGAACTATAATAATCCATCCAAACCATCTGTCTCAGTTATTGATCCTCTTTCCTTCCCTCGCGATCTTGAGTGTTCATCCGCTCTAAGAATTCGTCGATTTTTTCTCTTTCAAATCTAACAACAATTTCCAAATCGTCCCACAACTCCCTCTTGAATCTTATATCTTCCCAAACTGAGCAATTTCCGCTCTAATAATATTCTTATCTGAACTCAGATGGTCTGGACCAGAAATCACTGCGCCGGTAGTAAGAAACGCGAAAAGATCGTAGCTCTAATAAGACGTCCCATTATTATATCAGTAGAAACAGAGCATTTTATAACTAAACAAGCTCGACAACTTTGTCAAGCGATTAGATCTAAGTATTCCTAATCTCCTGAGCAGAACGTAGTGATTTTCAACCTCACTTCCGAATCTGAATTCTCAAAGGATTCAATTTCCTTCAAATTTGACATTCATATCCCTAATTTCCATGATTTTCTCGCCCCAACCGATAACTGTACTCTCCCAGATTCCTCTACCCTCTTTGGATCTTTAGAGCTACAATTTCTTCCTTTCTCCTATACTCCGCATCCCCCTCTGAAGATCATAGAACCATGAAGGAAATTTTTGATTCTCTTGGAAACATTCTCCAAGCCGCTTTTCCCATTTTCTCCTAAACTCACATTTTCAAGAAATTTACGCACACACTCATATACACATATAATTTTACCTTTTTTTTTGTATTTTATTATAGGTGTATACTTATGTAATCCGCGTTATATATATATATATATACAGGGTGTTTGAGAGAAAAATAATGATAAATCTTTCGTATAAGGGTAGAATGGACTAAACCGAGAAGAAAAGTCCTCCACCATTTTGCAATTTTCGCAATAGTTAACAAGATATTAATTACTAAAAAATTGCCGAAAATTGCCTAAACGAATACTTTTGATATAGATAGTTCAATCATACAAACATAACAAACAAACGTTTCATATTCGATTGAGTCATTTTCAATATTAGTATAAAAATTCTATTATAAAATTTCTTAACAATAAATTAAAATATATAATAAGATAAAATATAAATTAAGGTCTAAAGTACTCTAAAAATTATGTTA